GCGTTGATCCAGCCCGTGGCTGCCGTCAACCGCCATATTTTTCACATTCGGTTGGCACTTAAATTTTCAGCGATATTACTACCCAAAAATAAAAACAAATACATTTTGCGTTCAAGTTTACAGTAGAGTGATCTAAGTTTATTCAAAATTCGAACAGAAATTAAGTCTCCAGGGAAAGCCAAGCTCAAAAACCGGCAAATCAATGATGAAGTTAAGCATTAATAACGACTGATGCTTAACTAGAATTTTCATCTCAAAATACTCGAAAAAAGTCATGCCATTGTCATCACACTTCACTTTACTCACCTTCAGTAAGGAAGAAGACGTTTTCTGTCAAAAACCACCTGCGAGCTCAGCTAAACACTTTCACGACCTTCTCGCCACACCTGACAATTCCGTACTAAATCTGATACAGTTCCCACGCCCACCCGTTCGAGGTGAATAGTACCAGAACTCGCCAGCCACACCCGCCGGAATCAAAAACTGCGTGATTTTCGTCGTCTTCACTAACACTGAAACATTTAAAATGTCTCAAAAAAGTAGATGAGCGTTAAAATATTCATTTTTGTATTCAAATTCATTTTAATTCCTCTCTAGTCGTTAGTCATTGTTTGCATCTGCGCCCGATCACTGCGAATACATTTACACGTTTGCGTCACCTAAACTAAAGGCTGAAGGAAATCCACTAACTCACTTGTTAAATTACATAGAACTTCAGGACGATCGCCAGCTATGGCGGTTACAACGACCGTTTCTGATGAATATTACGCTTTAAGACGCATATGTTGAAATACAAACAATTTCTTGAGATCTGCTAAATCGATTGAATGATTCATAAGCAAGAGACGCAAATGTAATCACACAAAAACTTGTCATTTCACCTACCAAAGTACCGCATGGACGGCATGGTATTAATATTAACTTTGAACAAGATGAAAAGTAAACAAGCTTAGTGAGACGTCTAAGGAAATCGATAAGATTTGACCTAATTTTGTGTGAAACTACAGAGTGACTTAGTGACACTGACACACGCTTCGAGAGCGTCTGTCTCTAAATTACGTATTTGGGAAATCGATAGTCATCACTAATCAAGACTTCATCAATGGCGAGTTAATTTGGTAAACATACTGAATTATATCGCCTTTATAATTGAGGCCTTTTGTGTTATCTCAATGTAATAAACGCTAGTCTGTAGATCATCAGGGTTCTAATGACAAATTAGTCTCAGGAAGTTTCACAGGGTGGTGAGGCGACTTCCAAAGTCGTCACGGAGATGATCGTCCTGAATTCAAGCAAGCAACAGGCAATTTAATATGCTTTGTAAGAAAAGAAACTCGCAGATGCAAGTCATACACTAAGCATTTTTTACTGACCGTAGCTGGGGAGAAACTCCGATTAAACATCGTAGAAACAGATGGTAAAATTCAAAGAATGGTAAAACTGCCAAAGCCCTGGTTTATTGCACGTTCCATAACAAACTTGGTACAATGAGAGATAATTATGTCAATGATTGTAAGAAACTGGGATGAGAGTCTTATGAATTACTCCATTTACTTAAATCAAACTTCTTCAAAATGTCGTAAAAGACAAATCTTGTACAAAACATTAAGTTATAATTTAAAAGTTACTGCGAATAAACGCAAATCTATTATAACGTAATGTCTCATAAAATATATTCGGTATTTAAATACTTTCTTTCCACCATTGTATCAATTGGAGTAAATCTCTATGGAAAGTGTCAACAAAATACAGCGACTGACTGCCACTGTGTCCTCAGGAGACGCCTCGTCCAGTGAGCCATATGGTTGTCAGCTGACGTATAGTTCTCTCTTTCCGCTCTCGCCCTCTTTCTTTATTTCTAAGAATATAAATTAACAACTCATCAGTTTTCAATTGTGTTTGTATAATTTCTATTTAGTTTTGACGTTTTCTGAGCGACATAGAGATAAATTATGTGCATGGTAAGCTGTCGTTATTTATATCAGTCAAAGTATGAGTCACCTGATATAAAAAATTGTGTATATGATTCATTAAAGAAATATCCATTGGTCGGGAAGTTTAAACAGTCAATTCATGTCAAGCTATTGGAAAATATGCATGGACATTATCAGCTCAACTATTGGCCGATACTAACAAAATGCATCTGATTAACGCGATATTTAGTCATAGCCAAATATTATCATGACCAGTATCTCTAGCCCGTACAATTATCAGTGCAATTCCTCAACTGGCTGCAGACGTCAAATGCCCAAATGTACTGGATACTGTACGATTTCACCAGACCGGCAGAAGCATCGGCGTCGTATCGACCAGTCATCAGACGATGCTCACCCTCCGCGAGCTTAGCTCTCTCGTCATTGATCTAATACACGGTAAAATCTGCCGACTGCTCGGTAACTGAGACAAATTTAATTAATTTCAAATTATCATACAGAGTGAATAAATTTTTAAGTGTGTTTGTCGAAAACAGAGGTTTTATCAAAATAATTACATTTTAAATAAATATGAACATGTGGTTCTGAAGTTGTACTGTCTCCGCGTACACGGCCCTCACTTCTCCCCTTTTCAATGTCAAGGGCGTGTTTTCCTCGTCCTCGGCCGCAGATATTCCTTTAATTTTGGTAAACCTTCGCTGACCGAAATTCAAATATTCCTTTAAACGTGTATTAATAGAAAGTTTTCAATATTTGACGGAACAATTAACTACACATTGTAATTTTTTCGATTTTCCAATGTAACGTAACAAGAGAAAATTTCATTTGAATACTTTTTATCTCAGAAATCTAAATGGATCTACGGCTAGAATTGTAGGTCAAAGAATAGAAACTGTTGAACTATTTAATACAGGCAAATATAGTGGGGAAATTCGCATGGTATTGAATGCCCCATGAATTGAGTTTTGTAGGCACTTTCCCAAACGCCTGCCCCGCCCGCAGCTTACAATTGATTCTAATTTAGGGTCTGCAGGTTAAATGTTCCTTTATTCTATTGTTTGTTCATTTCCTACCTTTAATTGATCTATTTTACCTGCGTTACTTAAATTTAAATTTTATTTCCCAACGCCATTTTTTATATATTACTTTTGAAGTTTAATACTTGAGAAGGGCAAAAATAGAGAAAGGTTTAATACTTCAGAAGGGCAAGAGGTATGAATAATTCCAGGCTTGATGTTTTATGAAGAAATACAGGCAATGAAGCTTCCAAGTCGTTGATAAACGACACATGCGTGGAGACCTCATTGATGTATACAAGGTTTATACATGATTTCAGATAGATTATTAGAACATAAAACGAAAATCAACTACTGGGGTCACGGTTATAAAAAAAATGCGGTGCTACTAATCAATGCGACTACAATTTTTTTGTTTCGTGACATCGACATGTGGAACTGACTTTCTGCTAGCTTCGTTGATACTCCGGCTAAGAGAAAGAACGCATTCAAGAACACTAAACAACGCTATGACGCAGTATACGTTTCGACTAGAAGTGCTTTCCACCTCACAACTGGTAGATGATCAGCAACTACTTAGTTTCATGCCAGCATCGGATACATCGGAAGCCAAAAGAACAGTCCACAGATCACCAGGAGACAAGTAACGAACATTACCAGAACCAGCAACAAGACTATTCTTCAACGCCGATTCTACTAAACTATATTATATTATACTATAATATGATAGCTTTGCAATACTATACAGTATATTATTCGATACCATACCATAATACACTGATCCAATTACTTATGAGTCAAGAAAAGTACAAGAATCGGCGACAGGCCTATCCAGGCCTATTCTTTAAATGCCGAAGATACTATACTATACTATACTATACTATAATATACTATACTATACTATACTATACTATACTATACTATACTATACTATAATATAATATACTATACTATACTATGATGCGACTTTACCATAGTTCGAGCATTCATTTATAAACGGTTCGTGTATGAATCTGCTTATATTCATTGAGAAAAATCATTGCCATAGAGCCAAACTTTCCTTCATATTATAAGTACAAAAAATCCCTACCCAATTTCCCTGATTGTAAAGCTGATTATGAAACGTTTTCTTATATTATCTTTATCATTTTTTTATGTTCTGTGCCAGCGGCGTGCCACAAGGAAGCGTTCTCGGGCCTATTCTATTCGTTGCGTTTATAAACGATCTGCCAGAAGCTGTGTCTAGCGTTTGCTCGATGTATGCTGACGACACAAAAATTTATAATAAATCTCAATCAATCGTCAGTTATGGAAAGATCGGGTTCCAAAGGCCGGATCCCTTGTGAATCACGTCACGAAAAGTTCAAGAATCGGCAACAGGCCATGGGCCTATGTCTTCAACGCCGACACTTCTATTCTATTCTTTTCTATGTTGGATCCAGACACAGACAGCACAGACGTGCACAGACTCCGTTTTCAGCTGCAGTCCCATACTTCTGAGTCGTCATTGAAAATATCTATATTTTCACCTTGAATCAAATCAGACAAAACTTGCAATAAAATAATATAGTCCGTTTGAAATTTATTTTCAATTAGGCATAGAACTGATCCATGTATATAGAACTTAGTTTACGTGAAGCACAACAACTTAAATTTTTGATAGCTACCGTAAGGGAGAAAAATTGCTTTTTACGTGTGAGTTATAGTGTATACATTTTTTAAATTTTATAATGGTAGCATAAAAAGGCTTTCATATTTATGCGTTAAATGATCCGAGTTTTGGTAATTCAACGAAATATCGTCCGCGTGTTGTTGACTCAACTATAATTTCGTTGAATCATGTTATGTGCCTGAGCCTAATAGCTACGGTAATCAACTAAGTTCTCTGCAGTGTCCGGACTAAATTACCACACTTCGTCCGTGCAAACGAAGTGAAATATTCATAATATCTCCAGTTGAAGAAAAGAGGCCGAGTAATTATCCGGCGCCGACCGGCGGCCCAACGGTTCTCGCTTCTCGCATAGGAGGAAAGGAGCCTAAGGAGGTACGACATAACTCGATAATCGATTGAGTTGCGTGGCTCGCCTGCTGCTGTTTAAAAGCATAAATAATTTTGTGATAATTATGTCGTCATATTTTAGTGAACATGATTGCTCTGGTGGAGAAGTACCCAACCATTTTCTTGACTTTGCCCGTCTCATTGCTACTGGAGGATATTGGGAGGTTGGTTTATGTATTCCAATTGCCTTTTTGCTCATGGTTATGATCACTTTTGAATTATTGAATACTGATTTTTAATTGATATATTCAATTGACTATTTCATTCACAATTCATCTGCCTATTAGTATGTTATCTTATTAACTTGTAAGAGGAGAGAATGATGAGATCTATTCTATTTCTAGGTAGGCTCTAGAATCTAGATAGGCTAGCAGATCATCAGATGCAAATGCAATAATTTCTACTCAAACAGGAAAATTGGGCAGAAAAGGTCCATGATATCATATGGTTAAACATTCATTGAATTTGGCAAATTTAAGCCATTCCTATTGCCTTTTCCAAATTCCTTCATTTGAAAATGAAAAAAAAAAAACTTCCTGTTTTATCTGCAAAAATTGATGATCAATGTATGTTGTATGAAATGTTTAATTTTACCTGCAGTTTTATAAAACTTTTGTCTAATTCCTTAATATTCCAATTTGGATTCCTACTTTTTGACTATAGTAGTAATAGCCAATAGTACTATAGTATAGTAACATTACTGTTATAACTTGCAAAATTGCTGTAATGTAATGCTGTTTGAAATCAAGATAAGCTCCTAGGGCCTAGCCTTCTAATTTTTAGGTACCATGAATGAAAATTTTTTACTAAAGACTGAAATTTTGTTGCTCAAAGTCATAAGTAATACTTTCTTTAACATTAAAATCTCTTTTCAAACCTGTGCACCATGGTCAGGAAGGTGCAGTGTGTACGCTGGAGGTTCGTTTGCGGATGTACGCCAGTACGCCAAGGAAGAAAGTTGCCAATATGCTTGCTAAAAACGGAAGTGTAACCCTCGCCAATGCTGCATGATCGACACAGGCACACGTACTTTACGATTGATGCCTGGCAATTGTCACAAACACACGTGCTTTACGATCTATATAGCCAATGCCCAATGATCAACACTGATGCGCGCTCTTTGCAATCAAAGTGGCCGATGCCTAATGATCGACACAAGTGCGCGCAATTTACGATCAGTTTAGCCGATGCCCAATGATCAACACAGAAGCGCGCTCTCTGCGATCAAAGTGGCCGATGCCTAATGATCGACACAAGCGCACGCGATTTACGAATGTGCTGTGTTATGATGTGTTGTTATGTTGTTATAATGTGCTATGTTATGATGTGTTATGTTATGTTGTTATACTGCGCAATGTTATAATGTATGTTGTTATACTGTGCTTTGTTATGATGTGTTATGTTGTTATAATATGGTGTGTTGTTATACTGTGCTATGTTATGATGTGTTATGTTATGTTGTTATATGTGCTAGATGATGATGTGTTATGTTGTTATAATATGGTGTGTTGTTATACTGTGCTATGTTATGATGTGTTATGTTGTTATAATGTGCCATGTTTTTAATAATATAATGTTATAATGTGCCATGTTGTTAATAATATAATAAAGTTCATAATAGAACGCACTAGATTGTAATAGAACACACTAGATTGTAATAGATCGCATTAGAAGGCACTAGATTGTAATAGAACGCACTAGATCGCAGTAGAAGGCACTAGATTGTAATAGAACAACGTAGATCGTAATAGAACGCACTAGATCGCATTAGAAGGCCCTAAATTGCTTTAAAATGCATTACTATGCACTAAAATGCTCAAAACCAGATGAGGACGTATGTCGGGACAAGCCAGATCACCCAGATGTGGATGTATGCCAAGACAAGCCAGATGCGGACGTACGGTACGTCGGGACAAGCCAGATCACCCAGATGCAGATGTACGTCGAGACAAGCCAGATGCGGACATACGCCGGACATGTGCGCCAAAAACGTTATTTTAGCTCTTTGTATGCCGCGTTGTACGCCAGTTGAAGGGCTTGGAGCCTCGTTTACGCCGGATTAATCCGCGGAAAATGGCACCATCCTGGGTATGGCCTATGCACACATATTATGCAAAATCTTCAATTCTACCATCTAAATTGCAATGAAAACATTCCTTTTCATTTCACAAATAATGGTGTAGAATTATAACAGTAATAGTGGCAGTTCATTTTATTTTGAAGAAATATGTTAAATCCAAGCCTGACTGGAAATTTAAGGTAATGAACAGGTGTACCATAATTCACAATTCTCACAGAATTATACAGGAAAGCAGTTGCACGGATTTTGCAAGAGATCTTTAACCTTCTCACATAATTACTGTCTTCACGATTCGATATTTAAAGGAATAACATCTCACTTTAGTCTAAAAAGTTATTCCTTTTGTTGCCTTAGTCATAAAGCCTAGAAAAAAAAACACATACATTTTTTAGTACAATGCATCCGTTGTAGCTTCTTCCATAGACATCACTCTGTGCATGCTGCAGACCTGCAGTTGCTGCCTTCTATAATGCGGACACGCCAACAGCTACTTCATAACTTTCAACAGACAGAATTCTTGAAATGCATTTGAATATTATGCAATGCTTTTAGCAAAGACTGATCTAGGCAACAATTTTTTTAAGAAAAAATATACTCATTTCAAATATACAGTATTAAAGACAAGAATCCTAAACCAACTGCTGATTAATTGATCATACAAATTATGTATTCTTTATGGCATATATATACAGTATGAGTAACCCATGATTGTTTGAAAAATGAAGATTACTTATTTATATACAAAAATTACCACAATGTATTTGGTTGTGTTGAAAATGCAACACAATAGAATGTAACTAACAGGAGTGCTCAAAGCAAGTGCTCAGCAACTAGAGCAGAGATCTGCAGAGCAGAACCAGTCTTGGACAAATTTAAAGCATTAAACCAGTTTGGACAAATTTAAGGCCAGTCTCACAGCCAATCTCCAAATTCCTATGAGACTGGCTGCAAGTTTGGCCGCAAATTTGTCTGAGACATGAATTTGTGCCGGCAAGAGAACAGCTGTTGCACAACACACCGGGGGTTTTGCAAATAACAAGTTCATTAGTGCGCTATGATTATAATTCGTTGATTTCTATTATCAGTGAATGGAACTTTTCTTCAGTTAAACGGTAGATCAAAAGGAAAGTTGTTATTTTTTTTTTTTGCTTCATTTTTGTTGCATTCGAAATGTCGTTAATAAATAAGAATTACTTCCTGAAACTTGCCTTTTGATCTACTGTTCAACTGAAGAAAAGTTCCATTCACTGATAATAGAAATCGACTAATTCTCTGGTCATCAATCGCACGTGTGTAAACAAATAAATTCTGCCATTTAAAATAAATTTATGATTATAATAAAGATGTCTACTCCTTCCTTCCTATTTTAGTTTAATTTATGGGTTGTACCTTGATGTAAATTATTTACGATTTTGACCCTACAACAAATTCATCCATTTCCAGTTATGACGTCAATCCTTTAACTTTTCTCTCTGTGGAATTTTTAGTTCAGGTTTTAGCTATCCTACTGTCAGGTTTTAGCACAAGGGCCGGGGCACAGTGAAAAAGTTCTCACGCTGGCAGCTATGACTTGACAAGGGAAAGGATACAAATAAGCATGTCAACTCTTACATACTTGATGACAGCAAATCCCACCCTAATACAGAGCTGGGCACGGCAAAAATTGGCAACAAATTTCTAGGCCTAGCCTACCCGTATTTGCAATTCCCAATGAAGGCTACAATGCACGCTAATAATTTAACCTTCACAATAGTACAAATAAAGAGGGCTAAAATGGGGATGGTATTTCACCAATCCCAAAAAGGGGTACATCACCGGCGGGAATGAAGGCGAGCGTCGGCAGACTTCCCCGGGATTTATTCAGTCACACTCCGGCAATACTTGGCTGCGGCGTTCGTTGCTTCTCGGTGAGCTTTGTCTGAGGGTGTTTTCCAAAGGGTGTTGTGGTGTTATCTGAAGAGATGTCATAAAGTACGCTGGAAGACTCCCCGGTGACTCAATCCGTCGTAATCCGGCAATACTTGGATTTGGCGTTGGTTTCTTTGGCGTTGCGGTCTAACGCGGAGGGTTGCTGCTTGAACACTCGTAGAACTTTGCATCGATGGAACTCACTCTGAGCGTGTATAACCAGGCTCGCGTTGTAGCTTTTGGCAGATGATTCTAGTTGTCCGTCTTGAATTGTCGTGGTTAACTTGCAGCACTATCTCTCGCACCTGCAGAGCTGTTTCCACAAATACGTCTGGCTTTTCGCTGAGTCGTAGAACGCCGCCCAGTAGCTCTACACGCCACTAACACCGGTACGGAACTGACTCGCGGTGGCCCGCTCGCCCCTTAAATTCTTCCCCGGTCTCGCGCATGCGCGCTAGACGGCTCGAGCTCCACACTCCTTAATTCAAAATTCGTTTCTAACCCCCAATCCCTATTCTTATCTTATTTATACTTTATTCCTAATCATCGTCGGTTTTTAATAAATCTTTTAACGGTTATAGTTATATTCTCCTATACTAATCAGCTAATAGTGCAAGTGATGACTGGTAGCATCATACAATTTACAATTATAGATCATTCTAGGCTATATTGCAGAATTAGAAGTTCCTTGTCGTTTTAGCATTAAGTATCCAATTGCATTCAATTGTGCAAATTTAGATTAAATACTTATACGAAGTAACGTGACTTCGGCCACCATTACAACAGAAACAAATGGCAGCAAAACAAAATAATAAACATTGGCCAAAGTCACCCCAGTCACTTTGGCCAACATTTATTATTTTGTTTTGCTGCCATTTGTTTCTGTTGTAGTGGTGGCCAAAATCACCTCCGGTGGCCTAAGTCACCCCAGTTGACAGTATCTAATAATAATTTTGCTAGAAATAAATATAAAATTGATTATTCCAAATAAACTAATTTCTTTCCAGTATGGCAATAGATGCTTCAATTATTTGCCATCTTTTTTACAAAAACTTGGGCATCTATTTGAAATGTTTGAATGTATTTTATACTCAAATGAAAAAATTAAAAATTCTACTGATTTAGATTGAATAATGTTGAATTTTCTCTAACAATTTAGAGGATCATTCAGATACA